CCTGCTTATGTGGTGCTCAGGAATCGAACCCAAGTCCTCAAGCATGCAAGGCAAGCGCTCTACCACTGAGCCACCTTCCCAGCCCAAATGATTTTTTTTTTTTTTGGTCGGTCATGGGCTTGAACTCTGGGTTGGGCGCTGTCCTTGCGCTCTTTGGCTCAAAGCGAGCGCTCTACTGCTTGAGCCACAGCACCACTTCCCCCTGAGACTCTTACCTCCAATTAACCACCAGGAAACCAGAAGTGGTGCTACGGCTCAAAGTGGTAAAGTGCTAGCCTGAGTGAAAAAGCTCAAGAACAGTGCCCAGGTCCTGAGTTCAAGCCCCATGACCAACCCCTCCCCCCCCAAAAAAAAACAAAAGCCGGGCGTTGGTGGTTCATGCTTGTAATCTTAGCTACTCAGGGGGCTGGGATGGTGGCTCAGTGGTAGAGCGCTTGCCTTGCAGGCATGAGGCCATGGGTTCCATTCCTCAGCACCACATAAGCAAAAAGAAAAAAAAAATCTTAGCTACTCAGGAGGCTGAGATCTGAGGATCACGGTTCAAAGCCAGCCTAGTCAGGAAAGTCCGTGAAACTCTGATCTCCAATAGGAAACCACTAGAAAACCGGAAATGGCGCTGTGGCTCAAGAGGTCGAGCACTAGCCTTGAGTTGAAGAGCTCAAGTCCAGAGTTCAAGCCCCGCGACCACCACCACCACCAACAACAACAACAAAAGATTCTCCAACATTCAGAAAAAGAAAAGACAGCTGGGCGCTACTAATCAAGGAGACAGAGATCTAAAGATTCTGGTTTGAAGCCAGGAAGGGCAAAAAACTCTATGAGACTTTTATCTCCAACTAACTAGCACAAAGTCAGAAGTGGAGGTGTGGCTCAGGTACCAGACTGCCAGCCTTGAGAAGAAAAAGCCAATTATAGAACACAAGGTCCCAAGTTCAAACCTCAGTACTGAATAAAAGAAGGAGGGGGGCCGGGCGCTGGTGGCTCAAGCCTGTAATCCTAGCTACTTAGGAGGCTGAGATCTGAGGATCGTGGTTCAAAGCCAGCCAGGGCAGAAAAGTCCATGAGACTCTTATCTCCAATAAACCACTAGAAAACTGGAAGTGGCGCTGTGGCTCAAGTGGTAGAGCACTGGCCTTGAGCTGAAGAGTGCAGAGACAGTGCCCAAGCCCAGAGTTCAAGCCCCATGACTGACAAAAAAAAAAAAAAAAAAAGGAGAGAAGGAAAAGGAGAAGAAAAGATAAGGGCTGTAATCCTAGCTACTCAGGAGGCTGAGATCTGAGGACCACAGTTTGAAGCCAGCCAGGGCAGGAAAGTCCCTGTGAGACTTTTTTTTCCCCAGTTCTGGCGCTTGAACTCAGGGCCTGGGCACTATCTCTAAGCTTCTTTTGCTCAAGTCTAGCACTCTACCACTTGAACCACAGAGCCACTTCTGTTTTTTTTCTGTTTATGTGGTATTGAGGAATTGAATCCAGAGCTTCATGCATGCTAGGCACTAAGCCATATTCCCAGCCGCCATGAAACTCTTATCTCCACCAACTACTCCAAAATCAAAATTGGCACTGTGGTTCAAGTGGAAAAGTGCTAGCCTTGAGCACAGAAAGGCTCAGAGACAGCACCTCTGCCCTGGGTTTAAGCACCACAAGTGACCAAAAAAAAAAGGGCTAGAGGTATACCTTTTATTAATTTTTTAGAGAGGAAAACCATGTTTTTCTCCTAAAGAGGTGAAAATAAGTAAGATTTCTTATATTTCTCACTTGTGAGAAATGCAACTTCCTCTTCTCAAAGCACATTCCAGCTTAACAATATGTATTTGCATTTACAGTAATATGTGCAGTGCTATTGTCTTCTGACAAGATTCTGCATTAAAACATCACTCAACTTTCCATAAATATGTTCTCCTTTTACTTAGGGACTCCAAACAAACATTCATTGTAATATTTATTCTTCTTTCTTCTTTTTTCTTTTTGTCAGTCGTGGGGACTGAACTCTGGGCTTGGGTACTGTCCCTCAGCTCCAGGCTAGCACTGTACCACTTGAGCCACAGCGCCACTTACTGCTTTTTCTGCTTATGTGGTGCTGAAGGGCCTCATCCATTCAAGGCAAGCATGCTACCACTGAACCACCTTCCCAGACCCTATTTATTCTTATTTCTATAGGAAACACAGGACCAATGATATCTTCTGACACAACTGTTTCTTGATGGTTGAATAACAGTCTTGGAAGCATATCTTTTTTTTTTTTTTGTCTGTCATGGGGCTTGAACTCTGGGCCTGAGTGCTGTCCCTCAGCTGTTCAGCTCAAAGCTAGTGCTCTACCACTTGAGCTACAGCGCCACTTCCAGTTTTCTAGTGGTTATTGGAGATAAGAGTCTCAAGGAAGCCGGGCGCTGGTGGCTCACGCCTGTAATCCTAGCTATTCAGGAGGTTGAGATCTGAGGATCGCGGTTCAAAGCCAGCCCTGGCAGGAGAGACCATGAGACTCCTATCTCCAATAAACCACCAGAAAACTGGAAGTGGCGCTGTAGCTCAAGTGGTAGAGTGCTCGCCTTGAGCTGAAGAGCTGAGGGACAGCGCCCAGGCCCAGAGTTCAAGCCCCACGACCGACCAAAAAAAAAAAAAAAAGAGTCTCAAGGACTTTCCTGCCTGGGCTGGCTTTGAACCACCATCCTCAGATCTCAGCCTCCAGAGTAGCTAGGATTACAGGAGTGAGCCACAGGCGCCTGGCTTGGGTATTTAGCTTAGTGGTAGAGAACTTGCCTAAATAACATGTATGAGGCCATGAATTCAATTCCCAAAGAAGTAAAAGATATAATTTAGCCAATTATTCTCTCCAAACTTTCTTAAGCTTCAGTATCTGCTTTTGCATGTCTGCCAAGGTACAAATATAAATAGAACACATGAAAATGGGCTGAGCATGTAATGTTCCATGACTTATTTTTGGGCTGAGCATGTAATATTCCATGACTTATTTTCTTTCTTTTTTTTTTGGGTCCAGTCGTGGGTCTGAACTCTGGGCCTGGGTGCTGTCCCTCAGCTCTTCACCTCAAGGCTAGCGCTCTACCACTTGAGCCACCTTCCCAGCCCATCCATGACTTATTTTCTTTTCATGCACACATAATCTCAGAATTTAAAGTATTGATTTTTATGTGATTTAATGATATATCTTACAAAATATTTCTCATATGCACTATACTTACGAATAAAACCCATTTGGCTTTTTTTTTTTTCAGTGCTAGGGATGGAACCAAGGTCTTTGAGCAAGCTGGGCAGTTCTCTATTACTGAAGTATATCTACAGCTAACTCAAATCTATTTTATTTATTTATTTATTTTGCCAGTCCTGGGACTTGAACTCAGGCCTGGGCACTGTCCCTGAGCTTCTTTTGCTCAAGGCCAGTACTCTACCACTTGAACCACGGCACCACTTCTGACATTTTCTGTTTATGTTGTACTGAGGAATCGAATCCAGGGCTTCATGCATGCTAGGCAAGCACTCTGCCAAAAAGCCACATCCCCAGCCCTCAAACCTATTTGAGAATCATGATATGATCCAATATTTTACAGTTATAATCAAGGGAAAAAAGGTTCTGAGGGAAAAAAAACCTAAACTAACAAAGCCATTTTAGAATCTTTGTAAAGAGAATCCTCTAGACATTTCCCTTTTGCAAATTATAACTTAGATGACTAAATGTGAAGGGCAAGGGATATAAAATTTAAGGGTAATTTCCATGGGTCATTACATTAATGGACTATGGTGTCACTCAGCAAAATTGACAAAACAGATTGCTAATTCCAAATACAGTCTCGCTTGTGGCACAAATTAATGTGCAAAATAAAAGATTTTCTGGGGACAGGAGAAATTAAGAGTTGTTGTTCAGGGCTGGGAAGGTGGCTCAGTGGTAGAGCGCTTGCCTTGCATGCCTGAGGCCCTGAGTTCGATTCCTCAGCACCACATAAGCAAAAAGAAAAAAGCCGGAAGTGGCGCTGTGGCTCAAGTGGTAGAGCGCGAGCCTTGAGCTGAAGAGCTGAGGGACAGAGCCCAGGTCCAGAGTCCAGGCCCACAACTGGACCCAAAAAAAAAAAAAGAGTTGTTGTTCAATGGGTATAGAGATTCAGTTTCATGAAATGAGTTCTGGCCAGGTGCTAGTGGCTCATACCTATAATCCTAGCTACTCAGGAGGCTAAGATCTAAGAATCGCTGTTCAAAGCTAACGTGGATAAGAAGAGTCTATGAGACTCTTGTCTCCAATTAACCACCAGAAAACAGGAAGTGGCACATTGTGGCTCAAAGTGGTCGATCACTACCCTTGAGAAAAATAGCTCAGGAACAGTGCCCAGGCCCCTAGTTCAAGCCCCATAACCAACCCAGAGTGGGGCTGGGAAGGTGGCTCAATGGTAGAGTGCTCACCTTGCATGAGGCCCTGGGTTTGCTCAGTACCACATGAGCAGAAAAGGCTGGAAGTGGTGCTGTGGCTCTACTGGTAGAACAGTAGCCTTGAGCTGAAGAGCTGAGGAACAGTGTCCCAGCCCAGAGTTCAGGCCTCATGACCAACAAAAAAGAAAAGAAAAGAAACCAAAAAAACACAGAGTTCTAGAGGTTTGCTGCATGGTAATGTGAGTGTACTTAACACTACTGAACTATATACTCTAAAATATAATTAAGGCTGGGGGGAGGATTGAGTGGGGGGGGAGGCTTGGAAGGATGGGAAGGGGAAACAAAGGAGGAGGCTACAATGCTTGATAAGAAATGTACTCATTATCTTGCCCATGTAATTGTAACCCCTCTATACAGTTTTTTCACAATAAAAAAAATATATCAGCTGAAAAAAAAATAGTTAAGGCTGGGAGAACAGTTCAGAGACAGAACATGTACTAAGCACATACCAGGCCCTGGATTCAATTCCCAACACATATACAAAAAATAAATTTTGAGATATTCAATTTTATACTATGCATATTTCACCACAATAAAAAGATGAATTAAAGTTTCTTTTTTCTAGCTCACCACATCTATTCACTGCCAAAATGAGATCTTTCCCTTTTCTCTGACAAGTAAGTGAAGAACAGCTCTCCAAAGAGATCTGAAAATAATAATATAAGGAATATTATTTCATTTATTCACTACTATGAGAAGTTTAAGAAAAAATAATATAGTTGTCAAGTAGCTGAATTAATTAGTTCAACAAATAGTTACCAATTTTTCTACCTGGGTTGTTTCAAGCCCTTGGTTCTCAATGTATGATCTCCATATGAGCAGCACTTGCATTACCTGGGAACTTGTAAGAAATACTCATGGTTGGACCACACTTCAAACATGCTGAGTTAGCAACAATGGGGTTGGGGCCAGAAGTCTGTTTTCACCAATCTTTCACATCATTCTGCATACTAAAGTTTGAAAATAACTATTATAGATAGTAAGGTAGAATGCTTTAACCCCCCCATCCCCCAAAAAACCCCAAAGAGCTGTCTTCTTGGAAAAATAGACAACTAGATAAGAGTAGGTGGATGGAAGTGTTATTTGGGTAATCAGAACAGGGAAGAAAGGGGGCTTCAGAGGGTTCTCAACCAGTGTCTTGTGAGCTTGAAAGTCACAGAGAGCAAGGTGTGAAATGGGCTCACCCATTACTAGCTTTTCAGAATCTTGCTTCCTTATATGCTAAAATTAATAATCATATAATTTATCTCAGGGACTTTACTCTGAAGATTAAATAAGATAATTACTCTGGCAACTTTTCCTATCACAAAGCAAGTGCCTAATAAATGCTACTGGCCTTTCAAACAGATGTGTATTTAGGAATTATGGATGTAGAAATTAATGGTATTTAAAAAAGGGGGGGTGAGGGGCTGGGGAGGTGGCTCAGTGGTAGAGTGTTTGCTTTGCATGCATGAGGCCCTGGATTCGATTCCTCAGCACCACATAAGCAAAAAGAAAAAAAAAGCCGGAAGTGGTGCTGTGGCTTAAGTGGTAGAGCGCTAGCCTTGAGCTGAAGAGCTGAGGGACAGTGCCAGGCCCAGAGTTCAGGCCCCACGACTGGACCCCCCAAAAAAAAGGGGGGGTGAGTAGACTAAGATACGAGGGTGAGATTCTTTTATTTGTTGTTTGTGCAATCCTGAGAACTGAATCCAGGGTCTCCAACATAGTAAGCTACTATTCTACCACTTAGCTATAAACCCAGCTCAAGACTAAGGAGAATGAAATCTCCTACACTGTACAATTAATATGTGCTAATACAAATGTGAGAAAATAAAAATATTCCCAGGTAATGGGATCTCGCTGGTAAGGGTGGAAATGGGTTGAGAAATGGTAAAGGAGTGAAGAAATGAAGTTGCGAAAGAGTAACTTTTTTATTTTTTTTTTGGGTCCGGTCATGGGGCCTGAACTCTGGGCCTGGGTGCTGTCCCTCAACTCTTTCAGCTCAAGGCTAGCGCTCTACCACTTGAGCCACAGAACCACTTCCGGTTTTTTCTTTTTGCTTATGTGGTGCTGAGGAATCGAACCCAGGGCCTCAAGCATGCAAGGCAAGTACTCTACCATTGAGCCACCTTCCCAGCCCCGAGAAAGAGTAACTTTTTATACAAACCTAGCTAAGGCTAACAATTTGAAGAGGGGTTCAGAATGTGGCTTAGTGGTAGAGTGCTTGCCTAGCATGCACAAAGCCCTGGGTTCAATTCTTTAGTACCACAGAAACATAAAAAACAAGAAGTGGTGCTGTGGCTCAGTGGTGGAGTATTAGCCTTGAACAAAAGAAGCTCAGGGACAGTGCCAGGCCCTGAGTTCAATCCCCAGGACTGGCAAAAAAGAAAAGAAAAAAAAATAGGAATCAGAATGGCCTAATAATTAGACCATTTTTTTCTTTTTCCAGGCTTTTTAAAGATAGAAAGCCCTCTCTCTCTCTCTCTCTCTCTCTTTTTTGGGGGGGGTCCGGTCGTGGGGCCTGAACTCTGGGCCTGGGCGCTGTCCCTCAGCTCTTCAGCTCAAGGCTAGCGCTCTACCACTTGAGCCACAGCGCCACTTCCGGCTTTTTTCTTTTTGCTTATGTGGTGCTGAGGAATCGAACCCAGGGCCTCAGGTATACAAGGCAAGCGCTCTACCACTGAGCCATCTTCCCAGCCCACTTCTGGGTTTTTTCCTTTTGCTTATGTGGTGCTGAGGAATCGAACCCAGGGCCTCATGCATGCAAGGCAAGCGCTCTACCACTGAGCCACCTTCCCAGCCCTTTTCTTTTCTTTTTTAGCAGATTCCCTGGCTTGAACTCAGGGGCTGGGCACCGTCCCTGAGCTTTTTCAGCTCAAGGCTAGTGCTCTGTCACTTGAGTCACAACTCTACTTCTGTTGTTTTTTTTTTTTTTGGTGGTTATTTGGAGATAAGAGTCCCACAGACTTTCCTGCCTAAGATGGCTTCCAACATCAGTCCTCAGATCTTGGCCTCCAGAGTAGCTATGAATACAGGCATGAGCCACCTGCGCCCAGATGAGGGCTTTCTGTATCCTTAAATTAACCTCTAATAATTGTATAAAGTATTATCTTTTTTTGTTTCTTTAGTATATTCTTCCTCCTATGGCATTTCCCTGTTGTCACTGTATTTGATTTTGGTACCTTGAATTTTGTGTATACATTTATCTAATTTGGGGAGGGGAAGGAAAATAACAAAATGCTGAAACAAGGACACAGGATGAGCCCTTGCAACAATGATACTCACAAGATACTATGTTGGAAATGAACTTTACAACTTTGAGGTGGGGGGAGCCGGGTGCCGGTGGCTCATACCTGTAATCCTAACTACTCACGAGGCTGAGATCTGAGGATCACAGTTCAAAGTCAGCCTGGGCAGGAAACTCTGTGAGACTCTGACGTCCAATAAACCACTAGAAAACCGGAAGTAGTGCTGTGGCTCAAGTGGTAGAGCTCTCGCCTTGAGCTGGAGTGCAGGGACAGTGCCCAGGCCCAGAGTTCAAGCCCCACGACCGACAAAACAAAACAAAACAAAAAACAAAAAAAACTTGGGAGGGGGAGAGAAGGGACAGGAGGAGAAAAACAAAGGAGAGGGTAACAATGCTCAACCAGAAATGTACCCATTATCTTACTCAGCATCTTTACAATAAAATGAAATTAACGAAAAGATTGAAGATATTCTTTGGTATTTGAGAATACTGCAAAACTTTGTTTTAATGTTCAAGGCTGTATGTCATGTACGAGAGGCAGCCAGGAATATCTGCTCCAGGGGTGAAGTTGGTGGAGAAAATTCCATGGGGGCCTAGGGCTCCCTCAGAAAAGATTCAGGTACAGAACATTTATCCATCCCCACCCCCAGATGCCTGGGGACCTATCCCAGTTCACTTCCTGCCTGGCGCGCTCATTCCTCAAATTACGCTTGGTGAGAAAAAGTCAAAAGACCAGCGCTCGTAAGATACCTTCTTGCTGGGCCAAAGCGCCAGACCTCCACGAACTGGACAACACCAGCGGCCTCCAGGGTGGCCGACAAGAGCGACCCGCCAAACCAACCCAGAATGTATTTATAGAGCCAGCCCGGGGCACTTTCTGATTGGAGGGCCGGATGTGGGCGGGGACTCCGCTTGAAAACCGCCTCTGGATTGGAGAAAGTCATTGAGGGTGGGCCTTTTGCTACTTCTGGGCGCGAAAGCTCGAGCTGCTTTGCTGGACCGAAGATACAAGGACCTGCTTCCTTCGGGATTGAGGGAACTGGAGACGGCTTCCTTCGAGGGAGAGAGCGCTAGGAAGGGTCGGAATCATGACGGGCGAGTTGACTTCTGAGGTGAGTTTAGGCACTTATCGAGACCGTGGAGGCCGCGCGCGCTGAGGAGTGGAGCGGGGCCGGATAGCACTGGGCAGAAACGGGAGGCGCCGGCCCGGAGAACTACAGCTCCCGTCATGCACTGCTCCGAGGCACGGGCGGTTGCTGATGTTTCTGCGGTCCCGCCGCCCGGCTTCCCGCGCCCGGTCCCCGCGGGCCCTGAGTGCTCCTGGGTGGAGTGGCGCGCACTCCGCGGGTCCCTGCAGCCTGCCCTCCTCTTTGGCCCGTTCCGTCCCGTGGGTCCTCCCTATTCTAGCTCCTCCACTCCCCCAAAAGAGCAGGCCTTGGTCCACCCGGCTGCACCGATGCCGAGCGAGGCTGTTTCCTGGCAGCTGGGCCCAGGAGGGTCCCTTGGCCTTTAGGGTTCTCCCGCGCTGGCCCTCTGCGTTTTCTCACCTGGTTGGGGAAGTAACACTCAGAGCTCCCGTCTGGTAGCTGACGGCTCACTGGCTGAACTGGTCATAAAAATCCTATCTGTTTCCAGGCTGGACAAGGAGCAGAATTTAAAGGGCATCGAAAAAACTCAGTCATCAAATGGAAATCATTTTTTTTTATCTAT